TAGACGTTAGTCCTGTAGACTAACTTCTTCGAATCTTTTCTTTCTTTCTTTCTCTTTTATTCCCAACAATTATTGACCAATAGTTCTATCTTAGCAGGCCTCTCCCAGATACTTCTCTCCAGAATCCAGTACAGAACATAATCATTATGAACTATATCATGCCAGTTGATGTCTCACATAACTATAGCCTGGGCCTTCAAACCCAGAAAACCAATAACTCCTGTGAAGTATTTAGTTTTGTTTTAAAAGTATTTGTGAGTATGCTCCCTAGCCAGTAGAATTTAAAAAATAGAATCAGGCACATTGTTTTTAAAGTTCACCTAGAAGAGAAATTGCATCCAAATACCATGAAGATTTTTTAAAGACTGATAATAAGATTGAACGTTGCTTTATATAATGTCAAAATATACTCGGAGCTATGGTCATCAAAAGTCTGACATTTAAGTTGTGCCTTACTTTCCTTGAGATGCGATTACAAAGTATACCCATGGTTAGATTCTAAAGACTAGATCGTTATGTAAAATTGACCTTATGCTAAGAATGGAGGATGATGGCATCAGGTCACCAAATGGTGTAAGGAGACGCAATTCCATAATTTCCAAGTTGCATCATTTATTACTGCCAAATCACATCATTACATAATTGCTAAAACACTGAGAAACCTGAGGCAGTAAAGTTTACACATGGCTTAGCCATTCCTTACTGCCAGACATGTTAATATGCAAAATAATCTGTATTTTTTAAACTATTGTCTAAGTGTAAAATGTCAGGTAACAAGATAGTGAGGAGTAGGTGTACTACAAAGTGGGTGGCTGTAAGCAACAGAAATCAGTTGTTCTAAAAGCTGGAAGCCTGTGCGTTGGTTTCTTCTGAGGAGGAGCTGCTTTATTGCTGGTCTGCCAGTTTCTGGTGGCTTCTGTTCATGGTTCATCATCACGTGGCTGTTTTCCTCTGCCTCGCTGTATCTGTTCTCCATTTCAAATCACCACTTAAATGGGATTAGGGCCTACCCTACTCTATCCTAAAAGACTTGATTTCAAAATAAGGATATGTTCACAGGTACCAGGACTTGGAACTTCAACATACCTTTTCTAAGGAACAGGATTCAATTTATATAGCAAGTAAAGAGAGACAAGTCAGTAGAAGAGAATAGAGAATTTTAAAACGACCTAAGTATTGATTTCCTGTTTTATTCTGTCTTACTCTATTCTCTAACTGATTGAAACCAATCCTAGTAGACTGTCTTGGCATTAATAAAACTAAAATTGAATGAAAACAATGGAGGAAATAGCAAGTCAGCAGTTACTAGGAAGACCTTCTAAGCACTAGGGTCTCATTATCTCTTTTATTCTTAAACCATACTTTCCTCTTGCAGGATATAATGTTTATCTTTTGGCACAAAGCCTTCACACACTGCTACCCAGACTGCCTTTATAGTTCTTGCTTGTTACACTGCTGGACTCCATGGAGTACATTGTCAAAAATGATGAGTGCTACCCCTGGACAAGGGGTGGGGCTCGTACAGTGGAGAACTTTAACTCAGTCTGATTTCTTTCAACTACACAGGTGGTTAAGAGAATATAAACTGTTCTACACTCTTATTTTACTTTTTCTCACTTGACAAGATTTACTAGAGGCAAAAAGTACAGTTGGGTCATTACTGAAAAATTTAGTAAAGCAGTAATGAGAACTTGAACAAAGGTAGCGGCAGCAAGTGGGTGTGAGAAATTAAAGGGGAACAACAAGCTTTATTAATTGACTGTTAGTAGCAGTGAAGGAAAAGGAGGAGCTCTCCGTAAGCTTTAAGTTGTAAGAGAGGATTGAATTCCCAGCTACTGTGTGGTCAGGCAGGTTTAGCAATGTAGGCGAATGATAAACTATGCTGAGGAAGGTAAGTTTGTGTGAGAAAACACAGACATCATAAGCAATAACGACAGCACTAATGAAGAGCAAAAGTCATAAAAAATACAGACTAATTAGAGGTGAAAAATGTGATTCTGGACGTTAGACTGAGACTGGTAAAACCAGAGGAACCATCAGGCACAGTTGTCATCCATGAAATTCATTAGACTTGAGCCATAGGTGATTGGGGCTAGGTCAGTCTAAGGAAATAACCCAGCAAGGAGGAGACTGAAGAATAAATAATGGTCACAGACAAGATTAGTTTCCTTGCCCTGCGATAAAGAAAAAGCCCCTCAAATGCATGTGCTGATGCTAAGAAATATTGAGAGAGATCACTGACTATTGCCATTGAGCTGCTCAGTGTCTCTCTCATGTTCACTTCTCCCCCGTGACAGAGCCAAAACTATCCCCCAGTACCTAAGCATTTGTTAACGTATTGCCCTACCAGCATGCCTGTGGCACTGGGTTGCTTTATCCTTCTCAAGCACCATGTTCTTTGTGATGGTGTTCCATTTAAGAATCTCTTGTTTCCTGATCCAGTACATTAATGTGGTGTTCATATCTTACCTACAGTTGTCCATGAATACAAATACTTTAAGAAGATGATTACTGCCTTTTAAATATGCTGTGTACATTCAGTTATTTTTTTCCCTGACATTAAACCATTACCTTTTTCTTCCTGAAGCATTTCTATTCATTTGAAATTTTTGTGCTTTTCTTCTGGTTATTCAAACATGACTCATTGCTTTTTTCCACGTGCAGACCTTTCATTTCTCAGACTAGTATTTTGTATTAGGAGTATTGGATAGATTGTATTATATCCAATCCTATAAATTGTATTAGGCCTGGTGGCACAGTGATGAAAGCTCCCTGCTACTAACTGAAAGGTTGGCAATTTGAACCCACTGGCTTCTTTATGGGATAAAGATGGGTCATCATACTTTTGTAAATATTCACAGCCGTGGAGACCATATAAGTCAGTTCTTCTGTGTCTTATATTGGAGTCAGAATCAACTCAACAGCAATAGATTTGATTTGGATACATTGTATGACAGAGACCACTTATTCCATCTCTTATATATGCCATTAGGGTTCATTTCGTTTTGTTAAAGATTTGTTTGCCTGTTTGAAAGTTCTTAAGTTTCAGAATACTTGGGAAAAGATTAATCTTTTACTTGGCTTGTCATTTAGTATAACATAATTTAGAAATATAGAGTGTCCTTGTTGGAACTTCTTGTGCGTTGCTTTCATATGACTTCTCAAGAAAATAGATATCTAGATAATTTTAGCAATAATATTAGTAATTTGCATTATGACTTAATAGTCATTTAAGGATATATGAAATAATAAAGATAAGCTTACCATCCTAAATAAATTATCTCTGCTCAGATAAAATAATTTTACATGAAATATGCTAACATAGACTTTATCTCGTATTGATAGTTAGATTGGCATAAACTCAGAGATCCGTGTAATAATGTGGACCAAAGCATTTTGTTCGAACAGTGAAAAATGCTTAGGGGTTTATCACCTACATATGCAACCATGTGGGATTGATTAAATATGTGTGCTACAAATGCTCACTGTGAAATATTGTATTATAACCATTACAAATGGTATAGAATAGTGGGAAATTGTGCTGGAATGTTGGTAAGTGAAAAATATTAGATTATTGGACAGCATGAATAGTATAATCTCATTATTATTGTCAAAAATAAAACAAAAACTTCATTCTTTTTACTTTCAACATTATAAAAGATAACTGTAAATTCTTTGTTATTAGGAAAAATCCTTTTATTAAAAAATACTGTAAATAGTAAGAGAAAAATTAAATAATTGTGGAAAAATAATGATCTACAAAGAACTTGAAATGAAGGAATACAAAAAAGAACTCTCATCTCATGCTCTACATCAGTGGTTCTCAACCTTCCTCATGCCGTGACCCTTTAATACAGTTCCTCATGTTGTGGTGACCACCCCAACCATAAAATTAATTTCATTGCTACTTCATAACTGTCATTTGCTACTGTTATGAATTGGGCGACCTCTGTGAAAGGGTCGTTCAACCCCCAAGGGGGTCGAGATCCACAAGTTGAGAACCACTGCTCTACTTACATATGCTTTCTAATTCTACCAGTTTAAGTCTAGGTAAAATTTAGAATGACTCTAATGTAAACATTGCTATTAAATGGCTTTGTTAGTGGTTACCATAAATAAATAGTCTGCCAGATTTAACTTTCTTCCTTTAAAAAATTAATGAATTGATCAAACACATAAGCTTATATTAGAGAGCACTCAGTAGTCTTTTAGGAAGGGTTGGTATTTCTTCTAAATATACCACTAGTTCAGAAATTTAACATTCTCTAAGACTGAAATTTTAAAAACAGAACAAAATCACAAATTCTTCAAAGTGTTACAAATCTGGCTAGACCAGAGGATGTACGTTGGTACAGATAGCAACTGGAAACACAGGGAATCCAGGACAGATGACTCCTTCAGGACCAGTGGTGAGAGGGGCGATGCCTGGAGGGTGAAGGGAATGTGGAGTAGAAAGGGGGAACCGATTACAATACAGGAATCTAAGTATTGCCTCCTCCCTGGGGGATGGACAGCAGAGAAGAAGATGGAGGGAGAAGTCAGACAGTGTAACTTAAGACAAAACTATAAAAATTTATGAATTATGAAGGGTTCATGAGGAAGGGGGGGAGTGTGGAGGGAGGGAGAAAATGAGCAACTGATATTAAGGGCTAAAGTAGAAGGCAAATGTTTTGAGAATGTGAGGGCAACAAATGTATATATGTGCTTGACACAATGGATATATTTATGAATTGTGATAAGAATTGTACGAGTCCCCAATAAAATAATTAAAAAGAAAAAAAAATTCTTCAGAGTGCCAGTTTAAAATCAAAATACTTTTTAAGCCCTTAATATGCTTATTTATTAGGCTTTATGTCATTTTATTCATATAGCTAATTTATAAAATATTAAGGTTCTCCAACAGAATTTTTTCATTTACTCAACATAATTATAAATACTTCGCTTCTAAACAAAAGTGTTGTTTTACACAATCCATGTGTATTTGCTTTCTTTACTTTTAGGTTTCTGTAGGCAGAGCAGACATTGAAGACTTAGACCTCTACGCAACATCACGGGAGAGGCGATTCCGTTTATTTGCTTCTGTAGAATGTGACGGGCAGTTGTTCATGACTCCATCTGATTTTATTTTGGCTGTTACAACAGATGAGCCCAAATGTACGTATTTTTTTTAGTCTTAATAATTGTGTAAGTTTTTTTCCCCTCAACTCTAGTTTTTAAAAAAATATGGAACTTTATAAATTTTGAAACCCTCAACCGAGTATTGTGGTATTCCAAAAGATAGCATGCTATAAATATTACTAACATTTTTGTACTGCTTCATTGCCCTACTTGCTGTATTATTCTGGGAGACCTGAGTCTGACATTGTCAGTGAAAATTATTGTTTGTTTTGCCTGACCAACAACTCCCACTGTTTGTGCAAATACTGTCCTGTCACATAAGGATTTATTCTGTACAAGTGAATAATCTATGTGTTGCAATATAGAATTAACCTGCACTTGTTCAATCTCCCTTTCTCAATAATGTTTTAAAATGAGTACCATGGGCTAATCAAGGACACTATAAACAGAAGGTCCTTAAGTTCCAGGGAGATGCTGGCTAAAATTCTCTACCATAAATTAACCAGGATGTCTCTAAGATGAACCAGAGGCAGCTAAGAAACAGTTTCAGGAATAGATTTTAGGCATTTACTGAATCCTACCTCCAATCTGGGAACAATTAGTTCTCATAACATGGTCCTGCTGGATACTTACCCTCAGGAAAGAAACATAGAAAATATGGGTGCTGTAGTAAAATATGGTGAAGAAATTAGGTGGTGCCTCACTATCAGAAAGAATAGTGTCTTGGGTCTTAAAGGTTTGTTTTCAAACAATCAGCTATTTAAGTGAGATGTCAACTAAGCCCACATGGAAGAAGCCCAACACCACCTGTGATCCAAGGATTATAAATTATATAATCCGAAGAAGAGAATAGTATCAGAATTTAAAATGTGAGGTGCTGGTTGCAGAAGACTATGGGTGACAGCAGAAACTCAAAATGCATTTGCAGGATCTGCACACGGAATAAGCCTCTGGTGATTCCCCTCCGGCCATAAGTGAGGGATGGGAATAACCTGGCTTTCAGACAGACAGTATTGAACAGATGATTCAGACAGACAGTATTGAACAGATGATTATAGTAGATTAAAATGATAAATGTGACTCAAAGAGTTAAAACCTTGTCACTTGATCTTTGTGCTTGATGTGGTTTTTAATATTTTCTGTGGTTTTTTTTCATATTGGGGTTTGTCTCTGTTGTATGTGGTCATTGTTGATAGCCTTCTTGACTGTTACATGTGTTTCTGTTACATGTGTTCTGGGTAGATGAAACCCAGGATGGGTGAATCTATAAAGACAATAAGTAGAATAAGGGTTCCTGGGGGGACATGACGGGGCAGGTGGGAGGAGTAAGGGCATTCAAGAAGGAAAAGAATGTTTTGAAACTGTGTTAACAAACGTACAACACTGGTTGATATGCTTGAACTATGGAATGGTATGAAGTCTGGTTTAGCTCCTAATAAAATAGTTTAGAAAAATAAAAAAAATAATAAATATTACTAGACCATTATTTCTTATAAACTCTTTTTTTGAAACTTTCACAGGATATTAAATTTAAACATCACCTTATTTTTTTATTTGTAATAGACTCATAATCTGCCTCTTCATTTTTATATCCAACTCTAACAGAGTAATTCAGGGGATTGGCTTTGAAACTAGAACTGAGCAAGAATTCTGGCTCCCATCTCTTCCACATTTGCCATAGCTTCTGCATTATAAGCACAAACTAATTGTGTTTCACCTTTCTGTGTGCTGGAACAGTGGTTCTCAACTTCTGGCATTGTGTACACTCTTTGCAAATTTCATTAATATCCAATGTTATAGAAGACCACTGGATTCTCATAACCACTTTCATATTTAGTCTGTTGAAATATTTTGTGAAGAGAATCTGCTTCATAGAAATAGGTAGTAGAAAAAGAAACAAAGGAAAATGGGAGAATTGTTAATTGAGTGGAGTGCTACTGAAAAGTTTGATGAGGACAGAAATATGCTCATTAGAATTAGTAAAGAGTCTCCAAGTGGTGTAACCTGTTATCACAGTAATCTATTAACTCAAAGGCTGGCAATTTGAGTCTATCCACAGGTAGCTCAAAAGAAACCCATAATGATCCATTTTTGAAAGATCAGCCATTGAAAACCCTGTGAAGCACTGTTTCCACCGACACATGTGCTGTCACTAGCAGTAAGAATCGACTTGACAACACTCAGTTAGAACTAGTAATATGATTATGAGTGATCCTAAAAGTAATCTTTCAGTGGAGTAATTAGAGCAGACGTCTAGATTGCATGATTGGGTAGCAGATGAAGTAATGGAGATACTGAATTGGGCAGCTCAAGAGAAAGGATAGGAAAGATAGCCAGAGTGAAAGAAAGGCTTGATCATGCAGGAGTTTGATCAGAGACTAGCAGGAGATAGCATCCAAAGGAGTGGGAACTATGTGAACAAAAGCATGGAATCAAGAGGCAAATGGTCCATTTACAGTATTCTACTTGGCGGGGGAGGGGTATGTAGGAAAGTATTGTAAGAAAAGGCACTTCCTAGCTTTCAAGAACCTTGGGGGTTTGTGGTGCCTTATCAGCTGATAACCACTAAGTCAGCAGTCTGAAACCACCAACTCTTCCGAGGAAGAAAGGAGAGGCTGTTTCTTAAAGGTTTATAGCCTCATAAACCGCAGGGGTCAATTCTTTTCTATCAGGTCACTATGAATTAAGATTTTCCAATGGCAGTGAGTTTTGAGTTTAAGCCTTCAAGAAATATTTGAGTAAAAAACAAAAGCACGTGAGTAGCTGATACCAAGGGCTCAAATAGAAAACATTTTGAAAATGATGATGGCAACATATGTACAAAAGTGTTTGACAAATGGATGTGTGTATGGATTGTGATAAAAGCTTTAAGAGCCCCCAATAAAATTATTTTTAGAAATAAAGAAATATTTGAGTACTTCATGCCATAAATTATATTTTGCCTTGGAACTGGTTGTTTTTTATATTTTATACCTTCTCCTAATATTGTAAGTTTCCTGATTATAGGGATTTTAATAATTAAATATATAAGTATCCTATACATTTTGTTTGGTGTGGTAAAATCGAGACTTTCTAAAAATATTAAATTGTTAAAAAACTTGATAAAACTGTTAACATACTTTTAGAATATTAATTGGTATTCTATTAAATTCTGTGATTTTATCTAACTTATGTAAAAATTATGGCTTAAGTGATGTTTAACGAGTTATAATTTCATAATAGGAAATTTTTAGCTCATTATGGACATGCATTTTTTTCTCCATAATAAGTGCACATCCACTGTGATGTTTCTGCTCTTTGGAAATAACTTTTGTTGTGATTTCTTCTGAATTCACTTGCCAGAGAAAAACAAAAAATAATTTCCATTATTCATTTGCATGAGATATTTAACCACCACAGCAGTAGTTAAATATCTAACCATCAATTAAAAAGTTATAACATTGCAAGCTTTTTATAGTCTCTTGAAAGTTTTACTTGTTTGTTGGGTGCCATCAAGTCAGTTCCGACCCATAGCACCCATATGCACAACAGAATAAAACACAGCCCCGTCCTGTGCCATCCCCTTGAGCCCATTGTTGCAGCCTCTGTGCCAGTCCATCTTGTTGATGGCCTTCCTCTCTGTCCCTGCCCCGCTAACTTACCAAGCATGATGTCCTTCTCCAGGGACTGATCTCTCCTGATAACATGTCCAAAGGACTTACGACAGTCTCACCACCCTTGCCTTCACTCTGGCCACCCCTCTTCCAAGAAAGGTTTGTTAGTCCTTTTGGCCTTCCATGATACTTTCAGTATTCTTCTACTGAAATCTTTGATTTCAAGTGCATCAGTTCTTCTTCGGTCTTGTTATTCATGTCCAACATTCACATGCAAATGAAACAACTGAAAATACCATAAGTCAGGTGCACCTTAGTCCTCAAAGTAACATTTTTACTCTTCAATACTCGAAAGAGGTCTTATACAGCACATTTACTCAATGCAACACGTCATTTGATCTCTTTTGACTGCTACTTCCATGAGCATTGATTGTGGATCCACACAAGACAAGACAAAATCCTTTTGAAAGTAAAGAGTTTTAAAAAGAAATTTTAAATCTGGCCTCATATTTTATAAAAAGAAATTTTAAATGAGTTTTAGAAAGAAATTTTCATATTTGGTCTCAGAATAGAGTCCACAGATATAATATTGCATCAAATATGTATATATATGTATATGTATATCTCAATATCAGTCCCAAATTGGAATTTTGAACAAACCAAACCCATTGTCATCTAGTCAATTGTGTAACCCTATAGAAAAGAATAGAACTGTCCCGTAAGATTTCCAAGGCTATAAGTCTTTATAGAAACCAACTGCCATATCTTTCACCCATGGAGTGTACCTGTGGAGTGATGTTAGATTTGAACCACCATCATTCTGGTTAGCAGCCATGAGCATAATAAGCACTGTGCCAGCAGCACTCATTATAGTGAAACTAAAGCAAATCCAGCTCGCTGTCATTAAGTTAGTTCCAAGTCAAAGCAGAGAGCAGAACTGACGCTCTGAGATGCCTGCGTAAGCAGATGCATTGTCTTGGTGGCAAACCAGTCCCCCATCTGCCACAAATCAGGCCTTTTTTGTCACACACTGTTATACAATATTTTCAGAACCTCTAAATAGAAAGCTTGATTAACAGTCTGATATGGTGGAATGAACTCCAAATGCACTACAAGTCAGCATCCATCCAATGGATGCCCAGAACAAGGTTTGTCATTAATCAATATTTCACTTTTTTTGAAATGCGAAAACCACTCATACAGTTTCCCATAGCGCTGTCTTTGTAAGCTGTGTTCAACATCACCACAGTTTCTGCAGCATTTTTCCCACACAGGAAACAAAATGTCACAGGCACATGCTGTTCTCTTAAATTGGGCATCACAAAAACCAAGGTTCCTGTGAAACTTTTACCAAAAAAATTCACTGTGTCAGAACTTTCCCGGGCAACACCACTGGGTGTACTAGAAGTGAGTTGCTCAATGCTCTTCTAGCAGGAAAAGTGTGTACTGCTATATACTATGAAAGCTCTGCTCCACCCAGTCATTTCCAATTTTGTGGGGGTACTCCCTCGTATAATCCATGACACACAGTAAGCACTTAATGTTGGTACTTGTCATCATCATAACCATTCTCATCATCACCAGAATTCATAACCAGGATTTTAAAAAATCTGTTGTCATTTATGGTGACATTCAGTAGGAAAATTTGCTATATTAGATAAACATTTGCTTAATCCAGTTCAAATGTTAACTGAGACTAGGCATCTATCTGATTGTTGATTATAACTTTGTTTAGAAATCTAACACATGTTTTGTTTTACCTAAAAGTTCAATTTCTTTCTTGTAATGAATTCAGCAATTTGTGATTTTCTTATAGCTTCAAGATTATTTTCATTTTTAATATGTTTTTAAGTATTCTCAACATACAAGAAGGTATTTAAAAATGACATTTCCAGTAGAATTAAAGACTTTCTTCATGCAAGTTATATTTATATATGCCATAACTTCATAGAAAATAAAGAATTTAGAAAGTAAGACAAATCCTTTGAAGAACAATTTTAATAGCTCTTTACTCGTTGTTTTTAAAAAGCTAGTAATATTGAATCTGGTGACTTCTGACAGAATGAATATCTTTGTGAATAATTTACACTGGAAATCCTGTAAACCCTACAAACCTCAAGGATTTGTCTGACTTCCTTTTTGATAAATAGCTTTTCAACATGGCATAAGAGCACGTGCAATGTACTTTTTGTCCTTTAAGTTTCTTCTCTTCTGATTGTATATTTTAAAATCAACTGAGCAATAAATACTGTTGACATTGTTTTATTATTTGCTAAAAAAAAAAAGAGTGTCACAAAAGTGTATACAGGTATCAAATTGTAGTTGTTAGTTGCCATCTAGTGAATTCCAGTTGGTGACTCCATGAATGTAAAGTAAAACTGTTCCATAAGATGATTCTAGTTGAAGTTAAATCTCAATTCTAGTGCGCAGTCCTGTGATGCTAGTCACTTTATTATGTGACTGTATACTTTTACAAATTTTCTTGGGTAAAGAAATGGATATATGACTGTGTTGTTAGAGAAGAAATCTATCTCCAGGAAAATCTGTAAAATATTTAGAAACTTATTTTTCCCCTTTTGATCTTAAAGTAAATTATTACCTAAAAAGAAAGATGATAATAGAAAAATTATCTTTAAACCTAAGTTAATTATTTTTTCTTTAACAAACCCAGGGACAAGGGAACAACAAGTGATCCAAATTGGTGGGGAGGTGGGTGTGAGAGACCTGGTAGGGCATGATCAAGGGGAATATAACAGAGAGGAAGTGCTGAAATCCTGGTGGGGACTGAGCATGATAGTGGGACAGGAGAAAATTCAAGGGAAATAGAGGAAAGAGCTGGGAGGCAAAGGGCATTTATAGATCTCTAGATAAAGACATGTACATTATATGAGGATGGGGAAATAGATCTATGTGCCTATATTTATAGGTTTAGTACTAAGGTAGCAGAAGGACATTGGGCCTCCACTCAAGTACTCCCTCAATGCAAGAATACTTTCTTCTATTAAATTGGCATTCTGTGATGC